TCCTGGTCTTTGATAGTTTCCTGGATTTAACCTGAATGACAATGAGCGGGTCGTCACTGAAGCAAAATGTACTTCCCCCAATATCCACCGCCATAATAAAGTAGAAATATGTAAGATTATCATGTCCATCTATCTATCTATCTAAAGGGCTCTAATCTGTCATCATTAAAGGGCCCTAATCTGTCATCAATAAAGGGCCCTAATCTGTCATCAATAAAGGGCCCTAATCTGTCATCATTAAAGGGCCCTAATCTGTCATCAATAAAGGGCCCTAATCTGTCATCATTAAAGGGCCCTAATCTGTCATCATTAAAGGGCCCTAATCTGTCATCATTAAAGGGCCCTAATCTGTCATTATTAAAGGATCAGTCTGAAAAATGTGTCCAAAAGTGGTACTGCAGCCTCTCCCACTCTCCCTGACTCAGGTTGCCAGATATGCAGACGAATCCAGCTGGGACCATAACAGCTGAATAGACAAGAGTTTTGTCAACAACAAATCTATAACCAACACCTTTTTCACAAAGATAGAAATCCTGGTTTTATTCCTTGTTTTGTCGTTAATGATTTGAGAATCATAACGAGACCTTTTTTAGTTCTGCACCACATGGTACTTTACCAGTGAGATTAGCTCCACGCGGTGAGTTCTGGCGCCCGGATCACAGACTTTCTGATTGGTGAAACGGTGGAGGGCGGGACATCGAAATGAAAACAATAAAAAGATTTAGGGGCTGGCAGAGTAAGGTTTCCTCTGGGTGCTCCGGTTTCACCTCCCACTAAAAACATGTACAGTAGGTCTGGCATGTGCCTCGCTCTGATCTCTGTGGCTCTGTCTGTGAAAGGCATTTTATAAATAAATATTATGTATCAGTTATATATTATTTATTTCACCTTTTGTGCTTAAGTTAGTAATCTACAGCTAGTGAACGTTTCAAACAAAAAGGTGAACAAATATAAACAGGCGCGCAATTTTTTTTTTCTTATTTATTATTATTATTTATTTATTTAAAGATGAAGTGTGAATTGGTGTGAAATATCCATCTGGGGGCAACAGTAGCTCATTTGGTAGAGCATTGGCCTTTGAGCCTGAAGGTCGTGGGTTCGAGCCCACCATAAGACCTACTTCACGACTCCCACTGATGACTACTGTCGTTGTGTCCTTGGGCAAGACACTTAATCCCACTTTGCCTGAAGCCCCCACTGAAAGATCTCAGCTCCTGTGGACTCACCACCTGCAGGAGGATCAGTGAGGGGCTGGTGCTCTGTGGACTGGGTGCAGCGCTGACTGCCACCCCCCGACCCAGAAATGGATTAAGGGGAAGAAAATGGATGGATGGATGGATGGATTGTCCTCGGACCCTTTCGCCGCCGTCTGAAGCCTCCTGCTGAGTTTAAGACCGTTTAAGACCCGCTTAAAGACATTTATTGTTCCTCCACAGCCACAACACGACAAAGGCCAAATGTTAAACTGGATAAAGCAACCATTTATATTAAGTACAATACGAATGTCATTTTCCAATTTTGATCCAATTTGGTTTTAAATCCAAATTTGACACCAACGAAGAAAGTATTAAATATTTGCAGCAAGTATCGTCACAGACATGATCACACTAGAGCTGGGAAAAGGAAAATCAATATTCAAATATAATTCAAATAATCAAAAAATAAAAGATATGCTGACAATTATTAGCCATTGAGGGGCTCGGTAGCGTTCTGGCCAATCAGAGGGCAGCGTTCTGACCAATCAGAGAGCAGCGTTCTGACCAATCAGAGGGCAGCGTTCTGACCAATCAGAGCAGAGTTAGAGCAGGAAGAAAACAAGCCGAGTTTGTTTCATTAAAGAAGGATTTAACAAGAAAAAAAGTCCAGGACGACAAGAGACACTAAAATCCACAGAATTCTCCGTTCTCTGTCGGGTTCTCTGTCGGGTTCTCTGTCGGGTTCTCTGTCGGGTTCTCTGTCGGGTTCTCTGTCGGGTTCTCTGTCGGGTCCTCTGTCGGGTTCTCTGTCGGGTTCTCTGTCGGGTCCTCTGTCGGGTTCTCTGTCGGGTTCTCTGTCAGCCGAGGTCGAGCTGTTTTAGTTTACATTGAGTTCTATGGGACTTTTTTCTGGGTAACGTGAGTTTAGTCTGCAGCACCACAGCGCCCCCTGTGGCCATGTGTGGGACAGCTATAAGCTAGTATTACTCTATCCAGATATTATTTTAGATCCATGGTGTAGTTCTGTGAAATTACCCCAAACTTCCTGCGGTGGAAACATGACTGTTCTGACATTTATAGAGAGTGGCCCACTTTACCTCACACTTCTTCTAAAGTGGTTCTAGTGGAAACAATTGTACGAGTGATGTTCCATTAAATAGATTCTTTCTTTACAGGTTTGAACATCAGCATGAGAGCTTTAAGATATTCTCCAGCAATAAAACAAATGTTATTTTATAAAACCTATTTGCACAAAGCAATAACCTGTCCATCCAGAGGAGGATGTTGGGGTGACCCATCGGGCACATACTTCACATTCAAGATTAGATTAGATTAACTTTTTATTTTTTGTTTTCAGTATCTTTGTTATTACAGGAAGGATCCACATTAAAGCAATAATATATTTCAGTTTCAGTTTACTCTTCTTCTTCACAATATCACACTGTGGAACAAGAAATGGACTGAAATGGACGCCCTCTGAAGCTTATGTATGGGACAATAATACAGAGAAAAACACAAATGGACGGCAGGAAAACAGATGCTTTTGAATTAGAGAAAATAAGAAGAGAATGGAATTATACATATACACACAGGAAATATACATATATATATATATACACATATATATCAAAAACTGTCCCTCTCCTTGACATAACTACGCCCAGTGAGATTTTCTGAAGGAGAACAGTTAAACCAATGACGATGGGCCTTAAGAATTTGAATTTCATTTCGACCAATCACGAAGCTGCGAGCAAAAAGTTTCACCTTTTCATGACAAATTGAATTAAAGGTGACCAGTGTAGGTTTTTCAGTCGCTCATCTGGTTTTGGCCTTGTTTATTTGTATTTCATAACACAGTGTTTGGCTAATTAAACGCCTAGTTATTCTGATTGTGTGTTTCCTGCTGCACAATCCGTCTCTTACAAATCCCTTTAATAAACAGACATTTTTTTCAAGTTAAGTCATGGATTATTTTCCCCGACTCGTTCACACTCATCGAGAAAACAAAAGTCTTTCTGAAGCCTGCATGACTTTAGCGCACTATCAATCACGGCCGCACAGACCACATTGTTTAGATAACTTGGTACAATGTGAATTCAAAAGGTCAGAAGGAAATGTCTCCACCTTCCACGGCTCATATTTAAACATTTTTGTCCCTAGAGGCTTCCGTCCAAAGCCGACAGTACATTTTAATTTCTATATTTAGTGCCGCTGTGTAAATAAACGTTTGGTGGTATTTGATTTAAGTGGGATTCTTTTTATCAGAGATTGTGAAGGAACAGGATTATTTTGGGAGGACTCGGTCGGGTTTGGTTTGACACTGAGGGACTCCACCCTGAAACTGGCCCCAAACCTGTGATTACACACACACACACACACACAGACAGACACACATACAGAGACACACACACACACAGACACACACACAGATACAGACATGCACGCGCGCAGACACACACACACTCACACACAACCATAGGGAGAGACCACATGGTATTGGACCAGAGGGAGAGACCACATGGTATTGGACCAGAGGGAGAGACCACATGTTATTGGTCCATAGGGAGAGACCACATGGTATTGGACCATAGGGAGAGACCACATGGTATTGGACCAGAGGGAGAGACCACATGTTATTGGTCCATAGGGAGAGACCACATGGTATTGGACCAGAGGGAGAGACCACATGGTATTGGACCATAGGCAGAGACCACATGGTATTGGACCATAGGGAGAGACCACATGGTATTGGACCATAGGGAGAGACCACATGGTATTGGACCATAGGGAGAGACATGTGTCTCCTGCACTGGCCTCTCTCTCTCTCTCTCTCTGTGTGTGGAGAGAGAGAGAGAGTAATGTAAAAACTCTTTGTGACTCTGTGAAAGGCGCTTTATGAATTAAGATTACTATTATTATTATTATTACTACTTACACTCGGGAAAGCCAGGACCTTTCATGCTGAGCAGCTAGAGTGCTAACCACTCAGCCAATACATAATGTAAGCCTGTACAGCGTGTAAGCACAGTGACCTTTGCCTCCTGTGTGACAGATGATGACAGAGTTAGTGTAGGATCAAAATAAATACCATTATTGTTTAGTCTAATGAGTTTATTCAAAAGGTTTAAAGTATTTTGCTTCATAGTCACTCCACATTGTTTTTTTACTTAAAGCAATCAAATCAGTATAGTACAGTGTGCTATGATAATGTTATACACAACTTATTTGTCAACCAAAAATATGAAATCGTATATAGTCATTAGTATAGTTTATTTAATGATTAAATGAATAATCCAGTATTTTTATGGCTCTGTCGGTCATTTCAAGTGAAAACATTTAAAAAACAAACTTCCTTCAAAGAGAAAACTCACATCCTCAACATTAAATAATCCAAGATGTTCTTTTGTTTCTGTGCAGTTGGTTCTAAAACTAATCAAACATCATCCCGGGGCCGAGATCATTCATTCGCGGGCCGGATCTGGCTCCCGGGCCTGGACTTTGACACCCCTGACAAATGCTGAAATATAGTTTGACTTTGATGAAGCAGCAGTTTGTGACGGAAAAGTACTACACAGGAAGTAGAACTGATGACATCACAAAAGACTAATCCCGGTTCCATACAACGAGATTTAATTTAGTTTTTTCTTTGGACATTGGAGGAGAATTGACTTTCATTGTTTACAACCGAGAAATCAAATAATAAAAGCTCAGACTGAGAGGAACACTGGAAATCCTGAAACACTCTGAAGTCCAAACAACTAAAAAGTTGAATGAGTTTGACCTGGACCTCCTGTGAGACCTGCTTCAGTCTCTAAAGGAAGTCCTGGATCCGCTGGTCTGAGGGCTGGTCTCGGGGCTGGTCTGGGGGCTGGTCTGAGGGCTGGTCTGAGGGCTGGTCTGAGGACTGGTCTGAGGACTGGTCTGAGGACTGGTCTGAGGACTGGCCTGAGGACTGGTCTGAGGACTGGTCTGAGGACTGGTCTGAGGACTGGCCTGAGGACTGGTCTGAGGGCTGGTCTGAGGGCTGGTCTGAGGGCTGGTCTGAGGGCTGGTCTGAGGGCTGGTCTGAGGGCTGGTCTGAGGGCTGGTCTGAGGGCTGGTCTGAGGGCTGGTCTGAGGGCTGGTCTGAGGGCTGGTCTGAGGACTGGTCTGAGGACTGGTCTGAGGGCTGGTCTGAGGGCTGGTCTGAGGGCTGGTCTGAGGGGCTGGTCTGAGGGCTGGTCTGAGGGCTGGTCTGAGGACTGGCCTGAGGACTGGTCTGAGGGCTGGTCTGAGGGCTGGTCTGAGGACTGGTCTGAGGACTGGTCTGAGGACTGGTCTGAGGACTGGTCTGAGGGCTGGTCTGAGGGGCTGGTCTGAGGACTGGTCTGAGGGCTGGTCTGAGGGCTGGTCTGAGGGCTGGTCTGAGGACTGGTCTGAGGACTGGTCTGAGGGCTGGTCTTGGGACTGGTCTGGGGGCTGGTCTGAGGGCTGGTCTGAGGGGCTGGTCTGAGGGCTGGTCTGAGGGCTGGTCTGAGGGGCTGGTCTGAGGACTGGTCTGAGGGCTGGTCTGAGGGCTGGTCTGAGGACTGGTCTGAGGACTGGTCTGAGGACTGGTCTGAGGGCTGGTCTTGGGACTGGTCTGGGGGCTGGGTCTGAGGGCTGGTCTGAGGACTGGTCTGAGGGCTGGTCTGAGGACTGGTCTGAGGGCTGGTCTGAGGGCTGGTCTTGGGACTGGTCTGAGGGCTGGTCTGAGGACTGGTCTGAGGACTGGTCTGAGGACTGGTCTGAGGGCTGGTCTGAGGGCTGGTCTGAGGGCTGGTCTGAGGACTGGTCTGAGGGCTGGTCTGAGGGCTGGTCTGAGGGCTGGTCTGAGGGCTGGTCTGAGGGGCTGGTCTGAGGGCTGGTCTGAGGGCTGGTCTGAGGGGCTGGTCTGAGGGCTGGTCTGAGGGGCTGGTCTGAGGACTGGTCTGAGGACTGGTCTGAGGGCTGGTCTGAGGGCTGGTCTGAGGACTGGTCTGAGGACTGGTCTGAGGACTGGTCTGAGGGCTGGTCTTGGGACTGGTCTGGGGGCTGGTCTGGGGGCTGGTCTGAGGGCTGGTCTGAGGGCTGGTCTGAGGGCTGGTCTGAGGATGGTCTGAGGACTGGTCTGAGGACTGGTCTGAGGGCTGGTCTTGGGACTGGTCTGGGGGCTGGTCTGGGGGCTGGTCTGAGGGCTGGTCTGAGGGCTGGTCTGAGGGCTGGTCTGGGACTGGTCTGAGGGCTGGTCTGAGGACTGGTCTGAGGACTGGTCTGAGGGCTGGTCTTGGGACTGGTCTGAGGGCTGGTCTGAGGACTGGTCTGAGGACTGGTCTGAGGACTGGTCTGAGGACTGGTCTGAGGACTGGTCTGAGGGCTGGTCTGAGGACTGGTCTGAGGACTGGTCTGAGGGCTGGTCTGAGGGCTGGTCTTGGGACTGGTCTGGGGGCTGGTCTGGGGGCTGGTCTGAGGGCTGGTCTGAGGACTGGTCTGAGGGCTGGTCTGAGGACTGGTCTGAGGGCTGGTCTGAGGACTGGTCTGAGGGCTGGTCTGAGGGCTGGTCTGAGGGCTGGTCTTGGGACTGGTCTGGGGTCTAAGTAGCTGCTATGTTTCTTAGCTCGCTGTAAATGCTTCAATATCAATAATCAATATCTATCAATACACTGGAAAATCCCTTGAAAAAAATAAAAAAATAAATGTGAAAATAAGTCAAATTCTGCTTAAAATAATAAAAAATATCTGAAAATAGAACAAGGAAAAATTACTTAAGATTCCTGATAATAATAGAATAAAATAAATAAAATAAAACTAGCCCCAAACGACTTGATTCTAGTTTAAAAACATACATTTAAAGTATTATTTACTTATACCTTAAACATTTTTGATGTTTTCCTAAAATAAGAAAATAATAATAATCATCATTTATGTTATTTTTTGTGAATGAATCCGACCAAGTTTTTTTTTTTTCTAAATGTCAAATTAGATTCATCTTTGGTCCAAAAGAAATCTTTAAACAAAAATACAATAAATGAATAATGAAAAGGAGCAGAGATAAAAGTGATCAATACCAGAGAGCAGAGGAGACGCCTGGGTCAAGGTCAGCTCCATGTCCCATAATACCCTCTGATGAGACCAGGACGAGACCAGGGCGAGACCAGAGCGAGACCAGAGCGAGACCAGGACGAGACCAGGACGAGACCAGAGCAGGACCAGGCCGAGAAGAGGACGAGACCAGGACAAGGCCAGAACTCAATATCTCATAATACTCTCTGATGAAGGAGATGGGACTAGACCAGGACTAGACCAGGACAAGACCAGGACAAGACCAGGACAAGACCAAGACAAGACCATGGACAAGACCAACACAAGACCATGGACAAGACCATGGACAAGACCAACACAAGACCATGGACAAGACCAACACAAGACCAGCACAAGACCAGGACAAGACCAGCACAAGACCAACACAAGACCAGCACAAGACCAACACAAGACCAACACAAGACCAGCACAAGACCAACACAAGACCAGGACAAGACCAGCACAAGACCATGGACAAGACCAGCACAAGACCATGGACAAGACCAGCACACGACCAGCACAAGACCAGCACAAGACCATGGACAAGACCAGCACACGACCAGCACAAGACCATGGACAAGACCAACACAAGACCATGGACAAGACCAACACAAGACCATGGACAAGACCAGCACACGACCAGCACAAGACCAGCACAAGACCATGGACAAGACCAGCACACGACCAGCACAAGACCAGCACAAGACCATGGACACAACCAGCACAAGACCAGCACAAGACCAGGACTAAACAACTTGACCAGGACTAGACCAGGAATAAACAACTTGACCAGGACTAGACCAGGACTAAACAACTTGACCAGGACTAGACCAGGACTAAACAACTTGACCAGGACTAGACCAGGACCAAGCCAGAATGTGACTAGGACTAAAACACAGCTAAACCTGATATTTTAGGATCCATTAGCCAGTGTGCCGTCTGGACTAGACCAGGCCAGACCAAGACTAACCAACTAGATCAGGACTGGACCAGGACTAGACCAGAACTAGACCAGGACTAAAACACAGCTAAACCTGGTATTATAGGATCCATTAGCCGGTGTGACGTATGGTTTCACAAATGGAGAATGACACAACATAAATATTAATGTAGGGCCCTCGACCATAACCAGCCACGCAATTACATTAGAACCTATGGCTGTAGACCGAGTCTCGGACTGGATTTGACCTCGTTTAGACCTGGACTAGATGTGGTTAACTAATTTCTGCCATGATCATTTCAAACTAATCTATCACTAAGCCAGGACAACGCCAGGACTAGACCAGGAGTAAACAAGTGAAAAGAATGAATACCCATTACAATACCGCTGTTATCATTCTTTAAAAATACTATTAGCATTTTTTATGGAGCCACATTGTTTTTTATTTAACCTTTATTTAAGCAGCAAAGTCCAACTGAGATTAAAACCCTTGTTTTTTAAGGGAGTCAAGTGTTCTATATAAGAATACCACCGATACCACTTTTTACCAAACCGATACGAGTACATTGTGTTATCTCTGGGAATTCATAAAACTAATATAACTGAAAATTAAAATGTTTTATCATTCATCTCATTTCAACTATAAAATAATGCTTTAACAATTAAATATGGTAGCCATTGTTTTAACAGTCAACAATAAGAGCCACTGTCATATTCCACTAATACAAATGCTATGTTGTTGTTGTGCTCTGATGCTAGCTCCAGTGTTAGCTCCGGTGTTAGCTCCGGTGTTAGCTCCGGTGTTAGCTCCGGTGTTAGCTCCGGTGTTAGCTCCAGTGTTAGCTCCGGTGTTAGCTCCGGTGTTAGCTCCGGTGTTAGCTCCGGTGCTAGCTCCGGTGTTAGCTCCGGTGTTAGCTCCGGTGTTAGCTCCGGTGTTAGCTCCGGTGTTAGCTCCGGTGTTAGCTCCGGTGTTAGCTCCGGTGTTAGCTCCGGTGTTAGCATAGGTGCTAGCTCCGGTGTTAGCTCCGGTGTTAGCATAGGTGCTAGCTCCGTGTGGTGGTTAGTTTTCAGAGGTTTTTTACTAAAGCTTCTGGTGTTATTTGTGTTTGTTTTGGATCCACTTCATGACAGTTTTATAAAAACATACAGTCTGCTTTACTCTTGTCACTCGTTTACTTTAAAAAAAAAACTGCTAAACAGCCGACCTTACAGCAAAGCTAACGGCTAAGCTAGCAGCTAAGCTAAACACGTTCTGAAATATCAAATGTATTTATTTTTCAAGCAACAATTAAGTTCATAGTTTCAATATTAGTTTTGTATAGTTTCTATATCTTAGAAATGTTGTTGTTACTTACATTGTAATGCAAATCTGACTCTTTTTGAAACTTGTGAAAAATAAATTGTTTTGATTGATCATCATCATCAAAACACTAGGCTACATTTCCAGTCCAGTTTATTTATATAACACAAATAAAAACCAATTACAATAATAAAATACAAAACCGTGGCAAAAACACACAGCCAAAACCAATGAAAAGTCAATGAGAACAAGTGAGTTTTACATCAGGACTGAGCAAAGACCAGACCAGGACTACATAAACCAGACCAGGACTACATAAACCAGACCAGGACTACATAAATTAAACCAGGACTAAATAAACCAGAGCAGGACTAAACCAGGACTACACTACTGAGGCAGGACTCCAGGAGGAAATCCCATTAGTGCGTGACATATGGTCTTTAACGAACTCCAACCTCAGACGAAGAAAAGCAGATTCAACAAAAACAGAATTAAAAGATTCAGGACTTTAAGAGGCAGAGGAAGCAGACTGATCTTTAGCCAGAAGTAGGCCAGGACAATACCAGGAGTAGACCAGGACTAAGCCAGGACCAGGCCAGGAGTTGGCTAGAAGTAGACCAGGACAATAGCAGGAGTAGACCAGGACTAAGCCAGGACTAAGCCAGGACTAGACAAGGAGTAGACCAGGAGTAGGCCAGGACTAGACCAGGACAATACCAGGAGTGGACCAGGACTAAGCCAGGACCAGGCCAGGAGTAGACCAGGACTAACCCAGGACAAGGCCAGTACTTTATGCTGTGTGTGGAATCAGCAACTTCAGACAAGTATTTAGGTTAAAATGAGCCATTACTGTATTTGAATGAAATTAATGGTGTGCTTCATTCCTGTTAAAGTTTTTTCACAGACAAAAATATCGCTATAATATCATTATTCAAATACTAAAACCCCATATCAAATATGGCTCTAGTTTACAATAGTGAAAATCTGAATAAAACCTTAATTTTGGTTCGAAAATTCCAACAACAAAAAACGTTAAAAAATGGCCTTGTAATAAAAAGTATGGTCCAAGAATACTTTTCTCTCTCGGCGCCTGAAGGGAACGAGGTGGATTACAAACAGTGAAACCTAAACTCCAGCCGTTCTAAAGTCTGTGATTTAAAAGTCTGAGAGTGATTCATGATTGATGTCACATGATCTGCTCGTGTTAAACATCAATCAATACATTTCTTTTTTTTTTTTTTTTATGACTGAGATATTTATTGTGTTTTATCATGGGGGGGGGGGAAGGGGAGGGGATCGGGGATAAAAAAAAGAAAAAAAAAAGAAATAAAAATACAATAATAATAAAAAAAAAATAATAATAATAATAAATAATAAGATAACAAAGAGCAAAGGAAAAATAAAATAAAAATAAAATAAACTAATCAATACATTTCTGATTCATAACTCTGAGATGGTTCTGATCCGTAAGTGCAAATCTACCACCATCCCGAGCCTGTTGAGCTGATGTTGAGAATGAAAAAGATATAAAGGAAGTTTTTCTACTTCAAGGTGGATCATCAAGACTATTGGTCCTTCTAGTTGTCAATCATTCTGGAGATCCAAGCTCGTCCAATCAGAACAGAGAGTGGAGGGTTATTTTCTTCTTCAGAAATAATGGGTTTAGAAAATGAATTAAAAATCAGGATAGGAGACCAGTGTTAGTATCATTTAGACTATTTAATTCATTCACTGTCCTCAAAATCTGTGCAGAAAGAAGAAAATTATAATAAACTAGTGGTGCTGCAGCCTCTCCCACTCTCCCTGACTCAGGTTGCCAGATATGCAGACGAATCCAGCTGGGACCATAACAGCTGAATAGACAAGAGTGTTGTCAACAACAAATCTATAACCAACACCTTTTTCACAAAGATAGAAATCCTGGTTTTATTCCTTGTTTTGTCGTTAATGATTTGAGAATCATAACGAGACCTTGTTTAGTTCTGCGCCACATGGTACTTTACCAGTGAGATTAGCTCCACGCGGTGAGTTCTGGCGCCCGGATCACAGACTTTCTGATTGGTGAAACGGTGGAGGGCGGGACATCGAAATGAAAACAATAACAAGATTTAGAGGCTGGAAAAGTAATTTAGAAATTAAAATATTTCTGAACTACTGTTATCAATTAAAGAGCATGTTTTATTAATGCCTTTTGACAGATTAGGGCCCTTTAATGATGACTAGACATTAAAATCTTTAAATTGAAGTAAAAAGTTTTCCAAAAGTGGAGAGGGCAGATCTTTTCTAAAGTTTGTGAAAATCCTTCTCTAAACCTTTAAGACTGAGAGGGAGAAGTCAGTGAGTTTTGTCTTGCTGTTTGATCACTCTAAACAACTAGACCAGGACTAGGCCAGGGCTAGACCAGTACTAAACAACTGGATCAGGACTAAACCAGGACTAGACTAGAACTAAGCCAGGACTAGACCAACACTAAGCCAGAATGTGACTGGGACTAAAACACAGCTAAACCTTTTATTATAGGATCCATTAGACCAGGCATGTCAAAGTCAAATACATCAGAGGGCCAAAAAAACAAATTTGCTGCGAGCCGAGGGCCGGACTGGTTCAATGTTTATTAACTCTTTGCCTGCCAGCCTATTTCAGAACAGGTACTCCCATATTGCCAGCAGTTTGATGATTTTTATAGATATTTCAAGACCCACAGAATATTGTGTACTATGACTATCTGAAATCCGAAACCAGATTCTGAAAGAATAGACTGTCTACTTTCATCAGCAAAAATAATTTTGTTTCTAGTTTGTAATCCCCAGTTGAGTAGAGGGAAGTTTTACTGAAATCACCAAAAAGCTGAGAAAAAAGGGGCACAACAAGTGCATCTAGCTGTTTTCAAACCATTCAGAGAGCGCTGCTGCCACCTGCTGGCTCGATTCAATATGCTCTCAAGCTTATCCCCAAACATATTAGATATAATAGACATCTGGGAACATGAAAATAGCGGAAAACACAATTGACGTAATAGTGCGTCAATGGCAGGCAGCGGGCCATGTAAAAATCATTCGCGGGCCGGATTTGGCCCGCGGGCCTTGACTTTGACACATGTGCATTAGACGGTGTGACGTCTGGACTAGACCAGGACTAAACTCACTACAATGGGTTCGATGCCCGTTCAGAGAATCCTTCAAACACCGGCTACATCAGGACTAAGCAAAAACCAAACCCGGACTTTGCCCAGTCCCGGTGAGAGATCCAAGATATCACCAACATGTCTGAAAAGGATCAATACATCCATCAATCTCACATATCAGGGAACTCCCTCTGGACCAGGCAGGACCGGTTTGGTTCTGCTTCATACCGAGCTGGGCACACTCTGGCCTGGTTGGACTGGCTTACACCTCGGCCTGCATACACCCTACTGCAGGGGTCTCCAACCTGTAGCATAGGAGCTAACAGTCACTCACTGCCCCTTTCAGCTAGCTTCCCAAAAACATTTAGAATTCAACACATGATCTTGTCTGATCTGATCACATTTTGAGTAATTACACTACTATTACAAGTGCAAATACCGGTTTATACAGAATTATAGTATTTTATTTTTTACATGTGTTTTCTATATTTGGTCATAATTACTACATCGACTTTTATCACAACTGTAAAAACGAGTAGCTCTCTGCCTCTGTATAAAAGTTTAGCTCCCCTCTGTCCTTGGATCATGTTTTGGCCCACATTAGCACGGGTTGAGTAATGTTTTGGTCTCGGTTTGAGCACTGTTGCATGTGCCCCCATTACTTCCTCTTCCCCACACAGTCCCTGGTCCCAGTCCTGGTTCTAGTCCTAGTCCTGGTCCATACACCTACAGGCCTATCATCGGTTCATTCAGCCCCATGTTATTTCATTTTTCGCCCCTTTTTGCCTGGTTTTGACGCCTCTCCCTGCAGCCTCCCCCCTTTGTTCTTCTTTAATGGATGTCCTACCCCCTTCCTCCCCCATTAGCACTCTCCCCTCACGCACGGCTCTCACACGCATCGCCTGCGGGTCCGCTAAAAAAGACAAACCAACGAGCGTCCCCATATATTTTTTTTTTTTACGCGTTCTTCAAAATGGACCTCACCAGCCCCTCCGTACGCTCACACCGATGCGCGTGCACGTAGCTCCACCTGGGGTATCAACCATCACATGCATAAACACCCCGTCTCGTGCACGCGCAGGAAAAACCCACCCAAACAACCCCAAAACGCGGGTGTTATTCTGACTTTTATCATTATTAGTATTATCAGTATTATACTAAGGGGGAGATGTGGGGGAGCGGCGGGCCCCGGTTACGGCAGGGGCGGTGTTTTTCTCCCCCATTTCTCCTCCACACGGGCACCCCACCTCACGCACCGACACCCCCACATCCAGCAGGTCCTCACGCACCCAGAGCACGCGCCACGGCCCCGTCAGAATGCACCCAAACCCACCCACAGGCTCCCAGAACCCCTCGGAACCGCGACCCACCTGGAGAGAGAAGCCGAGGGAAGAAGCAGAGATTTAAACCCACGGCGTCCTGCGTGCCCGCGGCTCGGTCTGCGTCTGTGCGGCGTCGATCCCAGGAGTTTGTCTCCGTTCGGGACGAGGACGAGGGAGGGCGCCCGGGTCCAGGTTTAGCGGAGGAAAGTGGGGGTAAATCCAGTGGAAAAGCCGCGGTTACAGAGCGCTGCTGTGGCCCTCTCTCACACAGCCTGCTTCAGCCTGCTTCAGCTCGCTTTGCCCCAGCTCCGACTCTCACAGCCCCCCAGCGTGGACCAAACCACTGCGGGCACAAAACGGGGGGGAGGGGTCTCCAAAGAGCGGTACAGTAACACACACACTATCTCTGTTTAGACTATTCCACTCACGCATGCGCATAGACGAGGTGCCAGTGGAGTGAAGTTGGATTGAAAGTCTGAGTTTAATCATATTTGATCGATTACGTAGTTGAATTGTTGAACGAGTCCCCGTGAGTGAGGTCTGATGGTACGGTCCGGTCCTAATCTGCTGTTTTTCGGCTCCGCAGCCAGATGTGGACCGGAGCAGACTGATGGATGGTTCAGATCCCGGTTTGGTTCTGACCAGTCCAGGGTCGGTCCTGATGTAGTGATGTGAGTTTAGATTGGATTAGTCTGTTTTGTTTTTATTTAAATGAGTCTGACCTGGTCCAGAGTCCGGACTAAACATGAGGAGGCTGCGGTTCACATTTACACTGAAAAAACTAAAACTTTGGTCAGATTTATTCACTAAAATAAATGATGCTTATTTTTAAGTTTTTGTTTCTTGAATGTAGTTTGTCATAAGATTATTTTACTATTTTTAAGATTCTTCATAATATTATCAGAGAAAAAAGTCTGAGCAGTGAGTTTTTAAGTATTTTTTTCTTATTTCCAGACTTTTTTTGTTTATATAAAATACGTTTGTGAAGCTGTATTTTAAGAAAACATCAAAAATGTTTGAAAAGTATGTACATAACACTT